ACATGCACATCAAGCGCAGCCACACGTGGGATGTCAAACAACAGCCAATCACTCAAAATGCCGATATCGAATAAAGTAAACGCATATAACGACATAAATACTCGCTAAATGAGCATATGGAAGAAATTGGTTATAAGTAAATCCGTGATAAGTACAAAATGTCCGAGTTATTTAAAAAAATACCACGCGATGCAATTACGCAAGTTTACCACAATTTGCATGAGCGACGTGTGCAAGTTGGGAGAAGATTATCAAGTACGCAGAACAAACCAAATAAAATGTAACGAATTTTATCCACATTCAAAAGACCTAGTTTAAGTGTAAGTTGGTTTAGCCCAACTGCGGTGAAGCAGCTGATGATACATACATTAGTAATACTATCCTGCGGAAGAGAATATCCATGTTTTTCCTAAACTTGGCACCCAGTCGAATACCGCATGGTTGACACTATGCCTGGGAAAACTCAGCGCTCAGGAGTGCGTCGTTTCAGTGATGGGATTTGGACAGCGGAGCATTGTGGCTCAACAATCCCGGTAGTCAAATGATCGGTCAGTGGGCACGCAACGCAGCTGCAGTCTACGAGCTGGGAGACTTGTATACTTCGCAAAATGATAGCAGTAATTGTGAGCATGCAGTTAATCAAATGTATGAAAGGCTGCACATGGGTATTCGCATGTCACTGAGCTTACACACCCACGAATCGGAGACTGTATTTAAGAGCAAGTAGTAAGGTTTCAGTACAAATATCTAATTATGAAAAATCAAAAACGTCTAAATGCGAATCGTTAGCGGTAGTGTGGGTCAGTTAATTATTCATCCTTTTTCGGTTAGGAAATCGTATTTGTGTCATTAATTCCAGGTATACGCTGTCTTCTTTCGGTATTGTATGTGCACCCTTTCACAAAGCACAGGTTTCCGAAATAATCGTCAACACGTGTTTTAAAACACTTCACAGAATCGGCCTCTATTAAGCCTTCTAGTAGTTTATTCCATAAGTTTACCATATTTTATTCTATACAAAGCTGATATAATACGTTATTCATGCAGAGGACCCTGAGTTTGTAACCGTATCCTCGGGTGTTACTGGGTTCCCGCAGGTCAAATATTGGCCGCAGTATGGGAAGTGATTCCACTGTATTACTCGAGGGGTCATAATAAGGTCAATTCTTACTCCACGGTAAGATAATGTGTACAGTCCGAGCCTTTCACAACGTTTTTCATACGGACGCTTCCGTAGACTCGGTATCATCCTAGTTGCGATATGCTGTGTGCGTTCAGCGGCTACCACACTGTCACAAGGAAATTGTCTTAACGGCATCTGGTTCTGGTGTGGCCAAGTACTTTTGTAGCACCCCTGTCTTTTCAGGGCTGTGTCTAAGCCCTTCGGTTGTGAGGACGCTGTAAATCGGAATTCGACTTAATGTGATTGCGGCCAACCTTCAGTCCGCCATATCTTCCACGATCACTTGTCCACTCTACCTACCTCACTCATTTTCCGAACGTTGAACTCGCTTAGGAGCACGAACTGAGAGAGGTTCCTTTAAAGTCCAGTCCAATCGTCATGGTTCACCAAGACGGTAGTGTGTCAAGGGTCAGGACTTTAGGTTGACTAGCTGATGGCGAGGCCACCTAGTTGGCAAAGAAAATTTCGTTAAACACACTAACGTCAAATTTGTGGACGATTCAACGCCGTTCGTCCTGGTAGAACCTTTGATTGTACCATCCGCGTATTCTCAACATTTATGGAACTGGGAGCGAAGGGAAGTCCGGATTTATTTCTTTCGCTAAGCCACCATCATGGCCTAAAATGCGAGAGGTGAACAACTTTGGTTTGTTGACTCAAACAGCAGTTACTTCGGAGGATTGAAGCTCTTCGGTGCGGAATGTTGAAAACACCAATTCGTCTTCCGGCTCCAAAAGGCCCAACAATTCATTTCATCCCAATGCACTTCTAGAATTGAACGTGTCCCAAGCAACCACGCTAATTGAAATATCATATGTTTCAACTCTTCTACCAGCAATGCCCATCACAGAGGTAGGTGCTGAACCGGATGGCAAGCATAGCAAATCCCTTATGTGATACCTTCTGATTTGGTCCCTGTGTGGTTTTCGGCAACCCAGCTGATAACACAGGCAATAAGTGGCGAAGTAACCGGATTTGAATACTCGTTATCTCAAGAGATTCACCAACCAGTAAAAGACCTATCTCAACCCGGAAACAGTCAACCTTGTTAAATATGTAATAGATTGGTAATGCCTTAAACTCAGTCCAGCCTTTATCGCAATTCATTCAAGGGTGTGTGAATGGTAGGGTCCCTCTAGTTAGAAACACAGCATCACTACGGTAAATATTAAGAACAGAAGCCGTTCAGAATTCACAAGCTAAAGTCCAACAATACCATACCATTGCTTTTAAAAGTAATGCAGTGTTTGTTGCAGCCAATTGTCCAAAACACTGCAGCAGCGCGGTTTCCAGCAGATCCAGTCTTGCCGTATAGGGTAGTTGAAAAGAAAATGCAGTTATTAATGGTCTGAATCGATGTCATATGTCGGCTTTCTGGATCCTGCGATCAGCTGGATCACGGTATTATTCTTTTGTATTATATGCACAGCCGTGGAATTGTGAGTAATTCTCTTGAATGGATGTACAGTTTCATCGTTAATGGAGACCCTATTTGAAAGTTTGGGTTCATTATCCAGCCAGAACTAAATCGCATGCAATGTTCCGTAATGTCCAAGGCCGGGACTGCGCTTAATCCTGATATTCATCAAAAAATTGGGTGTGCAATCTTCTCGAACTTCCTACTCTTCACCGAAAAGGTTGAGATGTGGCGAGTGTTTGGCATTCACGAATAACACGGCTTAATCCAGAGAGTCGTAAGTAGTATCTCTGCAAGATTAAAGAGGAGTCTACTCCGGTTCAACGTGAATAAATCAAAAGTGGTCCATATTCGTAATCGGCCAAAAGTAATATCGTGGACGGAGCCCCAATCCTGAGTCGAAGCTCTTCTAGATGTGACCTCGCTGCATGGTCCATGGTTGTCCCGGAGTAACTCAAGTGTGCGCCCCTTGTGGACGCTGGCTGAGCGGTTCGGTCTTTCGATTTCCTGGCAAATGCATAACACGCGTGTGAGCACTTAGGGGGAATGGACTATCCATGCTTAGCAGCACTCTGGTCCCCAGGTTGGATTTCAACAAGGACTGATATAGACTCACTCTATCCCCCATGCACCTTAGTCTGAAAATCTCAAGGATGCATAGCGAAGGGCATCAGCTTCCACGGGGTGATCTAATGCTGATATAATAGATGCCGAAGAACCCAGGCGTGCTTGCCGTCACCTGAAACCAATAAACTGTATCAAATCGCGGGGCCACAAGCCGGAGTTGCCCGAGCGGTATAACCGGCTGGAATGTTACCGGAATACTTGCTCCTCCATATTCGCAGACATCTGACACTGTTCCAACTTGTTTCCGTTACGTACTTACGTTATCCGTATTAGAAGAGACCTGACGACGCATGGTATGACCTATGGTTGTTGGGTGACGAAATAACGTAAAAGAGAATTATGCTCACCGACTTTCCCATTAAATTGAGGTGGGAGAATTAGTTTTTATCTTCGCGGAAAAATCCTGGTGAATCCACCGCTAATTTTAACCACGAGTCATGCTGAGATCAAGTTACTGGAGTTGGTAAAGGTTTGTCTCTACACGAGAATCAAGCCATCGAACCGGAATAATGACACGTGGACAGGTTTGTCCATCTGCATGCTCATCTTGCTCAACTGTTTGAATTGCACCATCAAAGACTCTTCTCTTAGAGATGTTTTCATTTTCAGCGTACTGGGCGTCATGGGACGTCAACAAAACACCGTTTCAGAGGAACGAAGCGAACTATGCACTGACGCAGCAACACACCAGTTGGTTTTTCGCCTTTATGCGAGGAGCAATGGACCGCAACACAAATGACCCAACACAAACGGGTACGCGCGGTCAATTCTAGTGTAGATTCCAGGGATGATATATCGAATCATTCATAACAAGGCAACTAGAATGGGAATCCAGAGCTGAACTGCGGTTACTGGCGAGTGCTCTGTCTTGATACAGTAACTCATCACAGCGATCAGTGGGCCGTCAGGACAATACTCCGTCTATGAAGCGGAGTCAATAATTGTTAGGATAAATACACCACTCTTTGACTGCGTACAGAAAAATTCAATGTTCCCGATGGCGTTGGGCCAAATGGATTGGAACTTATAAAGCCAACATCATATGGTGCACGGAAAAAGCGACACTATTCCTGTAACAAGTTAGTTATCAAGGTCTTTCGGTGGTCACACATTTGTTGTTGTCATCCGCATACACGGCTGTGAAACCAATCTAGTTATTCATAGGATGGCTTTCTCCGATACCCTATTGCTAACGTAATCGGTTAAACAGGTATGAGAGATTTACATTACCGCTGTGCAAGTATCAAAAGCGCAGTCCGCGTAAGGGCGCATGCGTGGTGTGCAATCCATGAACTGAATGCAACGGTATACACTGCGGTGTACAGAGCGTGGTGGTCATACCATGCTCATATTAGATGATGCATACATTACTCTACAAAATGTGCTCATACCATCGTCCTAACACTAGAATGTTCAGCGCAAACAAATCTGATCTCAGCGCTATTCTTTTTCTTTTTGTGGGTTTCATAAGAACACTCCTGGTTCCCGAACACTACAATCGTAAAAGTATGATTGTAATCAGTCATGCCAGTCAGGCACTTATGGTGACCTGGATTGCAGCAATAACGAAGTAACTGTACAAGACTGTATTAAACCCAATTCTCCACCTCCTTGGCAGTTGAGACTAATTCGTTGATGATATATAAACTAGCTTTTAACGCACTTTATTTTCTTCTTAGTACCTGAGACTCAGTGCAGGATAACTAGTGGTTGCAAGTAGTCGACATTCATTTATGAGCATCAGAAATGTTGCATTGCAAAAATTGAACTCACTGTCTGCGTCGTCATTGCGTAAGATTTTCCAATCCCACTCGGTCTTTCTACCATACCGTGCGAAGCTTGTTGCCCTTGATTGCTGTTGCTCTTGTGTTTACAAGTCCTCGCTTTAGCCGATGCTTGGCACCTGTTTATCCGTGGCACAATGCGACAGAGCGCAGGCGCGTACGCACAACTGTGCACCAAGTCACACACACACGGCAATAATCCCTCGCACACATTCAGATGCACAACACAGTCGCATAGCACGTCTTCTACGAGGCAGTACAACACTAGCGGTTAATGCGGGAGAGATTAACCACGACAGGTTGACGGAATCAGGCGGACAGTGAACACAGCCTCCGTCCCGATCGGAACCAAACACTTCACGGATGTCCTCTATGTACCTCATCTCCGGCAACGTGTGTGCGTGTGCTGTGGGATGCTATCGTGTTCGTATCTCTCCGATACAATTGGCATCAGTGTGATGAGGGTCGGCGACAAGAGTAGCCACAGTTCCGGCGTGTGTGTATGTGTGTGAACCAATCCACTCAGTTGCCTGGGCAGGCGGAATTGAGAAAACACCTGCAGCGCGACGATGACGATTCCCTAGTTGGCGAACAGATAATCGAAAACGGAGAGGACACTAACAAGGGCCAACATCCAGTTGATTGTTCGGTAAGTGCGACAGACCAATGGAAAAACGACCCACAGTGCGTGCGTTCCCTGATGGGACAGGTGTAGCGTCGCTGTGTGGACTTTGGGTGACATCATGACAACACCCACGCAATGGGGACGAGGGACGGGAGACGGGGGACAGACAGAAAAAATTTACTCGTCTGTCACGAGCAGCGCTCAATCTGAAATGCCAAGTGTGGTGTTTGTTTTGCACCCGAGTGTGCGCGCTTTCAGCGATCATCCAAATGATCTGATCGAACGGGTTGGCAGTAAATATTCGCCAACCACTGTGCGCCCCCTGTGGTGACTCGATTCAAGTGGACTGTCCGTATAACAAACATTGGCCAAAGATACGCGCAAGATATTGTGCGGGCTCCGCAACAATAGAACGTAACAGGTAACATATTAAAGTAGTTCGTAGGCTTACTTCTAGTGGCAGACTGAAATGCAGCTCAAATATTGTTGATGGGAGAACCCAGGTAGATTTCCGAAGGAATTTGCATGCGGTTATCCAAGTAAGCACTGGTCTTTGAAAGAAGATCCAGAAACAAATTAGGCAGTGTATCACACAGATCGTTTGCTACTGAGTACCTCTACATTGGCAAATTTACTAATCCGACGGAAACCTTATAAATAGTTTATTCTAACCATCCGTTATAACCCATAGCCCCTGACTTCGATAGCTGTTGATAGCATTTCAGATGGGGTGGGACAAATTTCCTTTTTTCCCAGTCTCTGGCTAAAGTCGCAACACTAACCAGTGTTGAGCAACAAGTGCGACTCATTTTACCTACTTGATGTGATAAGTTGCATACAAAGTCGAGTGTCATCGTCCTTGAGGATAACTGCTGTTGGTGAGTCACAAACAAATTCGAATAACTTGTACTGTGGATGTCACTGTAGACGAATTGACGTCCAATGGCGCCGACTTGGTTAATCTGCCATGGTAAATGCGGTCTAGATAAGTTTAAATAGCCTAGTGCTTCTTCGACGGAAGTTTATTTTTCCTTGATGGATCTTGTTGCACCCAGCTATGTTGGCAATCTGAGCATTAGCTCGAGCAAACACCTCGGTTACTGGACCCAAGAAACTGTTAATCGCTGCTGGATGGAGCACGCAGTTTTCTTGGTCACCGTGGGACTGCGCATGGTTTAGTTGTGGTAGCGTTCCCCCAGTCAGTAGCGCGAAAATTCGAATTTAAACGATAGACGCGGAAAGAATAATTCCCTTAACATAAAGGTTTGTTGTTCCATTTCCTGCAATAAACATTTATATTATATTACTTTACTGATTTTCCACCTTAAAACTGTTCAGTATTCATTTAAATAAGAACACAATTTGGTGTGTGAACGCAAATAAGTGCTTCATTGCGATGGATAAAAAATGATAAAATCAGGACATTTTAGATAAGTGCACGACTGCCATAGTCAAATAAGTGTGTGTGTACATAGCTGCAAGCCACTTACCCCTGAAAAACCCAGGCCATGTTACAGGTGGAGAAAAAATTTGAACTTTAGTGAATTTTCCATATTAGACCTAAACTCCATTTATTAGGAGAACAGCTAGTAGATATTCAATTTTGTGAACGAGCTTCATAGCTATTCTATATTCTTTATATTTTCTACTTCTTGATTGCTGTTTAAACACTCCACTGCGTTAGTCCGATTGTCACACACACGTCATTGTTAATGGACGCTCATCTCCTTGTCCTCATCAGCAGTGCCATTTGCAAGAACGCATTCCATTGGTTTTTCTCCACATCACTTTTCTACTTGGTTGTGTTAAAGGAATATTTAGTTGTCACACAATTATTGAACTAATTTTTAATCTTTGGGTCTACATTTCTAATTTTCGTTTATTTCGTGACATTTGTTTAATGCGCCATTTCGTTATTCTGATTGGCCAGTGCCAGTCACTGTAAATGAGTGTTGGTTTAACGCTTGGGGTTCCATGGTTGGTGGCACCCGGTATCGGATTTGCCTGTCACTGTGGACAGCCACAGGACGCCTGCGCCTACTGAGGAACCATGGGTGGCTTGCGCTGCACCACCCACAGCTCCATCCACACACTCCATATCCAGTGTAAACCCGAAGGAATAAGACCAGGAAGCATGTGAATGGGAGCCACGTTTCCTCAACGGAGCCGGCCCACACTCCTTCACAGGAAAACAAAAGCACGCTGTATTTGGGGAATCAAGTGCACACAAGGCGGTGGCTGGACCGTAGTCCGCTCCACACTGAGTGCATGGAACCACTCTTCGAGCCTAGCACGACCACAAGGACCGTGCACCCCGTTCCCTCCAGTTTCGACCAACTCTCTCCTGGAGTCAGTATAGACGAGGTAGTGGGTAATAGACAGGTAGGCACCTTGCCAACATGCACATCAAGCGAAGCCACACCGGGGATATCAAGCAACAGCCAATCAGTTGTAACGACAAGGTGAAATAAACCGAATAATGCATACAGTTACGGTGGCATAACTCTTCGCTTAATTAGCATATGAAGTAAGTTGGTTAGCAACGAATCCACGATAAGGAAAACATGTCCACAAGTTACTTAAAAAGCTACCAATACAACAAAGTTACCGAAGAGAATCGCAGTTAGCGTAAGCAACGTGGCCAGTTAATAGATGATTATTCAGGTAGGCAGAAGAAACCAAATGAAGTGGAATGAAATGTATCCAGCTTAGAAAGACCTGGTTTAAGTTGGTTTAGCCCAACTGCGGTGAAGAAGCATCAAGAATGCAACATCAGCCTCAGCATGGAGTCCCATGATTTTATTTCTAAAGGCATATGAGCTTCGCTCTTGGGTACACGATTGCTTATTTGCCGATGCATTCGACGTTTTCCTTCTGTTGATTGGCTCAAGTGTAAGTGTGAAGTGTAGCTTCACTTCATTTTACCTTCAAAACTATGTAAGTAAATGTGTTTGCATGTATACAAGTCTTTTCTGGCTCGTCTTTGGACTTCTTCTTGCGGTCGTGGGGTGAAGGCGTCAGTGGCGACACAACAGATTTTCTGGCGACGCAGGTTCCGGTAAACACGTCGATTTCGTTCGAGCAAATACTGACGCTTATTCAACAGTGACAACTGCAGTTTGAAAAATCTCAGCGACAATTGATCGACTTGCTATCTCAGAAGCTGAACATTCAGAGCGAATTCCCCACGACAACCGCACGGCCATCTGTGGACGCCCTTGCGGCTTCAATCACAGAATTTGATTTCCGTGGATTGGACGGATTGACATTTGAATCATGATTCCTAAAGTATGAAGATATTTTTCGAGTGGAACTTGCAGACCCAAATGATGCCTGGAAAGTTCGTTTGTTGTTGAGGAAACTTGGCGCACTCGAACATGAACGTTACACAAATTTCGTGTTGCCGAAGAATGCAAGAGACTTCAACTTCGATGTGACGGTGAAAACGCTGACGCAGATATTCGCTGAGCAGGCCTCTCCCTTCAGTGTTCGCTACAATTGTTCGATGTTAGTCAAACGCGATGCCATTGATTTTGTCACACATGCCGGGATCGTAAATCGCGAATGTGACGATTCAAACTGGGTCTGATGACACCTGATCAATTCATGAGTCTTATTTTCGTGTGCAGTCTTCAGTCCCACGCTGATGCCGATGTTCGAACACGAATTCTCCACAAGCTCGAACAATAACAACAGCTGACGCTGCAAGCGATTACAGCCGCATGTCAACTCCGTGGCACGATCTACCTAGTCCCATGCACCGACGTTAATCTTCTAGGAATCGATTGGATTGAAAAGCTGAACTTGTTCAATGTACCACTGAATCTTGTCTGTGCTGAAAGAAATGTCACGGTGCATCATACAGCCATACCGACTCCTCCGGGTCAAAGCATCTCTGAACAGCTTCAAACGAAGTATGAGTGTGTCTTCCAATCAGAAATTAGACATTGTAAGAAAATGCAGACAACACTTACTCTGCTTCCGGATGCCAGACCAGTGTTTCGATCCAGGCGTCCTGCCCCTTATGATTCCCAAGCACAGGAGCTTGATCGATTGCAGCAGGCCGGAGTGATCGAGCGAGTCCATTTCTCTCTGTGGGCTGCGCCAATTGTTGTGTTCAGGAAACCGAACGGTTCTATTCGTTTGTGTGCAGATTTTTCAACAGGCCTGAGTGGTGCACTCGAACTCTTCAGTATCCGCTTCCACTCCCTGAGGACATGTTCGCAAAACTGAACGGAGGCAAGTATTTTGCTACTCTTGATCTTGCAGACGCCTATTTGCAGTTCGAAGTTGAACCCGAAAGCAGAAAGCTGCTAACAATCAACACGCATCGCGGTCTCTACCAGTACAACCGTTTGCCCTTTGGAGTCAAAACGGCGTCGGCAATCTTTCATCAAGTCATGGATGCCATGCTGACGGGTGTAAGCAAAGCAACAGCCTACCTGGATGACATTATCATAATGGGCTCGACGCAAGATGAATTATTTCAACCATTGGATGACTTGCTGCAGAGAATCGAAGATTACGGTTTCCGATTACGAGCAGACAAGTGCAGATCTTTCCTGAAGTCAATTAAGTTCCTGGGTTTCGTGATTAACGAGAACGGTCGGGGACCCGATCCCGAAAATATGGAGCTGATAGACCGGTTACCGGCGCCGTCGGACGTCACAACCTTACGGTCATTCCTTGAGTCACTATAGTGAATTTCTACCATGCACGCATCGCTTGCGTCATCCTCTAAACCACCTGCTGACGAAAGACGTCGAATGGAAATGGTCAGCAGTGTCAACAGTCGTTCGAGCAACTGAAATCTCTGCAGAAGTCGGACTTATTGCTTACGCATTATAATCCGAAGCTGGAAATTATCGTGGCCACGAATGCTTCAACCTATGGGATTGGTGCTGTCATTTCACATCGTTTTCCAGATGGATCTGCAAAGGCTATAGCACATGTTGCACGAGCGCTGACGGCATCCG